AAAAAAAAAAAAAAAAGGAAGGAGAAAATTACAGAGCAAGAGATCCCTTTGGGATTTTCCAATGAATGAACGAATGAGCACGACACAGTTCTACACCAGCTGCACGCAACACAATGTGTGCTGTGTGTGTTAATGTGTGTGCATAAATTTGTACGAATACATACACACATATGTATATAAATCTTTCAAATTGTATTCATGTGAGAAATATTTTGCGAACTGGTTTTTCTATCTTCTGAAGACCAAAAAAAATAGAGAGAAAAAAAGAGTTTTATGGTGTGTGTGTGTGTGTTAGAGAGAGAGAGAGATGCATAAAAGGGAGAATGGTATGGATATATGCAATTAGACACACTGTATCTGTGTGCGCGATTTATATATGCAGAAATCAGAATTGGAGAGACCAAGAAAGAATAGGAATAGGATTTATTTCTTTTTTTTTATTTTTTATTTTTAGTAGGTGTCAGAAGAAATTAATCTGAATTTGTAATTATGTTGGGATTCCATTTCCATAATTATATTTTTTTGGAAATATTCCTTCCTTAGATAATAATTAAAAAAAATATCCCGAGGAAATATTCATATCTGTGAGAGTTGAATTATTTTCAACATTCAAATATCGAACATATTCTAGATTAGAATGCTAATATAGTTTAGTTGGAATTGTTTGTTGGGAATGCTTAAATATATCAAGGTTTTATGCCATAAGTTAAATCTATGAAATTTTTAGGTTATTAACTATATATATATATATATACACATATATATACACATATATATGTATTTATACTAATCTATCTATACTAATATAAAAAGGTTGTTGGTAAAATACAGAAATAGAAAGTTTGACTTTTTAATTAAATGTTGACTTTCCTTTTAAGGAAATATTGTACAAATTACTTAGTTTTCTTTTTCCATCAGCGAATAAAAGCTTTTAAAATAAAACAAATCCTACAATGTGAATTTAAAATAAATATGTGTTTCTTTTCAAAAAAACTGCATGCGCTAATTGAACCTTGAATTTATGGATGATACATGGAGAACTATCACATTAAAATAATTTGAGGAAACAAATTATTATAATATTTGATTGTTTGACATGATATCAACAAAAACGTTATTCTAATTTTTAAACATGTAGTTAATATTTCAATAACGTAATAAAATGTTGAATAACTATTTTTTGATTGGAATAGGGCAGTTCATTTTTAACATTTCATGTCTACAGGTATGATAGATAATAAGATAAATAATCTATTACTATAAATAGCAATAGGGATTTTCTTTAAGTAGAAAGTAAAATCCCGCATAAAAATTTGGATTTTGCTACAATTGATAATTTTTTTGAAATTATTTGAAAAATTGGCGGTTGATTTGTAATTTGAATTTCAAATTCATTCAAACATTTAAAGGAAGAGATCATAAGCAGATTTATTGGATACATTCCATTTTATTTTAACTTACATTTAATCACATTCCTAACAAACACTAAAAATGCTTATATATTTCCAAATTAAGTACATCAATAAATAATATTAATATACATTAAATATTTATCATTATATAAAAAAACAATATTACTTCTATAAGTGTTATTAATACTAATTACATTATACGACAATAAAGTATTGAATAAAATAATATTTGAGTATTATGATAAACCAAAATATGTAAAATTATTATTTTTCTGTATTAAAAAATAAATATATATATATATTAAAATATTACTTATATTAATATAAACGGGTCAGCAGGCTAATATATTGTTAAAATAAAGTTTTGAAAAAATATTTTAAGGTACAAAACTCTCGTGCATCGCACGAGATTCTCACTAGTATATATAATTAAGTGCTATCACATTTAGGCAAAAAATTTCATTTCCCTTTTTTTTTGTATATGTAAGTATATATTAATGTTCGAACTTAATTGTTATAATATTGCGGTCCATGCAACATACAGGATGATATATTTTAATGGAATGTTTAATATCTTCAATATTTAAATTAATAGGCTCGCTATATATATATATAAAGAGAGAGAGAGTCGTGATCATATGAGAAAAGAAAATAGTGAAAGAAATAAGAATAAATCTCTACCATTGGACCAACATATTAATGGTCATGATCAAGTCAAAATATGGTCAATCATTAATGGCAATATGGTAATCAACATATATAGTATGGTCAAATCTACATATTGACCACTCATTAAAGGTAAAATTGTCATTACACAAACCACACACCAAACATGGTAATGCCAACTCATAGTGGGTCCCACCTCATCAATAAACCTAATCTCTCTCTCTCTCTCTCTCTCTCTCTCTCTCTCTCACACACACACACACACATACACACACCCCCCCAAACACACACTTAACACGCACAGGCGTACACACACACTTTGCATCCGAGATCCGGCAACCGTCAACCACCCCGCCGCCCGCCGATGCAAGCTTCCCGTCGCCGTCTGCAATATGTCTCGTCCCTCCATCTTGTCAGAGACTCGCCGAGCAAGGTGGAGTTTCTGAAACTCCGGCGAGAATCAACCAGAGAAAATGTCCAAGACATATGTCGCTGCTCAGGGCCAGGGAAATACGCCACAAAGCCGCCGCTTCGGACGCCGTCGAGATGGCCGCTGGAGTGCTGAGTATCTCTGTCGCCGAGAATAGACACAGAACGAGCTCGCCATTCTCTCTGGATCACCAGGCGGAGGAGAGTCAACAGTCGACTGACAGCATGGCCTTCACGGCGAGAGCCTTCAGGTCGACGAGAGAGGTCGGGCGCTGAGCGGCAGTGACGGTGACGGGAGGATGAAACTTGTTAAGGATAGGGACTTATTTTAGAAAATTAGATAAGTTACAAGTACCTTTATGCAATTTCATAACTTTTAGTATATTGCATTTTAGAACTCATGGCAACTTTGTAATTTATTAAAAGTCAAACGCATGCACATTAATGATATATAAAATGCACAAAATTATGTGATAAAATGCACAATAAATTTTGTAACTTTAGTCTGTTCGGGTTTGGTCGATACTTATGCAATCTTATTATCATTAAAGTGCAACTCATAATATGGTAATGTGCAATCGCATTGCATTATTTTTTAATGACTTGTCCAAAACGAATTAAAACACAACCGAAAATCATTTTATAAGTTCGATTAACCAAATTAACATAAATAAACAAAAAAAATTATAAATCATATCATAAAAATATATTTAGTATTTTAATATTTTTTATAATTTTTTTTGTTGAAAAGTTATAAAATAAATGTAAAAAATATTATTTTTTTATGTACGTCGGCCGGTTGATTATTAAAAAAAACTAAAATCGAAAAGAAATAGCTAATTTTTTAAAAGTAATGAACGAACACCGAACCGATATATATAAACCGTATAAAAAAATATATTTCGGTTCATTTCGGTCGATACATACGCTAAAGTGCAATATCCCATACACAAATTTCAACCTGATAGTCATTAATGTGTACTTTTTTCCGGCCCCTATGTGCAATCTTTAAGGACCGAACTTTCGTCCCAACCAAATTGAAACCGAACACCAACGTGCATTTCAATTTTAAAAATATTTAATAATGTGTATTTTAATTGAAATTATTGTGCATTTATCAAATTATTTATGTAATAAAAATATAATTATTATTTATAATTTTTGTATTTAATATTTTATATTATTAATTTAATTAACATCGTCGTGCATTTGTTATGTTAAGGTGCAATCTCATTAACACAAAAGTGCAACACGTCAGTCAATAATGTGCATTATGTCCAATGATATTTTCATATTCTGTCTTATTTTTTATTTAATATTTTTGTAATGTGCACTTTTTTCCGGCCACTATGTGCAATCTGTAAGGACCGAACTTTCGTCCTAACCATATTGAAACCGAACACCAACGTGCATTTCAATTTTAAAAATATTTAATAATGTGTATTTTAATTGAAATTATTGTGCATTTATCAAATTATTTATGTAATAAAAATATATTTATTATTTATAATTTTTGTATTTGATATTTGATATTTTTAATTTACTTAACATCGCCGTGCATTTGTTATGCTAAGGTGCAATCTCACTAACACAAAAGTGCAACACGTCAGTCAATAATGTGCAATATGTCCAATGATATTTTAATATTCTGTCTTATTTTTTATTTAATATTTTTGTAATGTGCACTTTTTTCTGGCCACTATGTGCAATCTGTAAGGACCGAACTTTTATCCTAACCATATTGAAACCGAACACCAACGTGCATTTCAATTTTAAAAATATTTAATAATGAGTATTTTAATTGAAATTATTGTGCATTTATCAAATTATTTATGTAATAAAAATATATTTTATTATTTATAATTTTTGTATTTAATATTTTATATTATTAATTTAATTAACATCGCCATGCATTTGTTATGCTAAGGTGCAATCTCGCTAACACAAAAGTGCAACACGTTAGTCAATAATGTGCAATATGTCCAATGATATTTTAATATTTTATCTTATTTTTTATTTAATATTTTTGTTTATTATGTTATATATTTAAAAGATATATAACAATAGTATACTTTTATATACTTTTTGTAATTTGCATATTTGACCCATAGGTTAAATTGAAATATAAACAAAATTATTAAATTTACAATTAGGTCCCTAAACATAATCTAATTCTAAAAATAAAACCCTTAAGAGTAACATACATAAACTTTGATTTCAGCCCCCTTCTGTATCACCACCATCACTTCCGTCGGCGAGGGGAGGCGGACCATCCGGCGAGAGCACCTTTCAAAGCTTTCCACCCTGCAGCTCCTCCAAAGGAACGGCGGAGGTCGCCGGAGATGAGTATGGTCGGCGACGGAGAGCTGTCTATTGAGATGAAATGACGATTGACCGCCAACGGAAGGTCGACGGAGACGAATCGTGAGGGCCTGCTAAGACGCGGCGATGGTGGAGGAATCGGATGAGATTTTCATGGAATGTTCGACGGCGGCTAAGGCGCAGCGGAGGCGTGACGACGACGGTGGTGACGACAGCTAAGGCGGGGAGGTTGTGCTGCGCGTGTGTGTATGACGCCAGCAGCAGTTTGTGTATGTGTGTTCATCAACAATGTATGTGTGTGTGTGTGTATGTGTGTTTTGGGGTGTGTGTTTAAATGTGTGTAACGCGTGCATGTGTTTTAAATTATATATGTGTGTGTCAGTGTGTGAGAGAGGGTGGGTGGGGTGCGTGCGTGTGTTCTGATTTATGTATGTGTGTGTCAGTGTGTGAGAGAAGATGGGTGGGGTGCGTGTGTTGTTTTGATTTATGTATGTGTGTGTCAGTGTGTGAGAGAGGGTGAGGGGGTGGGTGGGGTGTGTGATGTGTAATGTCCACGTAGCATTAAATCATTTGTGTGGTGAGTGTTAGTTGACATTGTCTCACAATTTTATAATCAAAATGTCCATATACCCTTAATGACTAAATAAATACTCAATTTTTTTTGTTACCATTAGATTATCCGATCCAATGATTCCACGATTTATTCTTATTTCTTTCACTAAGACCCTTTCTCATTAGAACTCAATATAAGTGTGCTCAAATGAGAAAAAAGCACAATGAAAGAAATGAGAATTAATGTGGACCGCTTGATCTACTATTTCAACGGTCAAGATGTAATCAGTCAGTTTTGACTCAATTATCGGTGGCAGTCTCGCAATTAGAGATGACTGATGTGGCCAATTGTAGAAGTTTGAGTGTAGTTTTGTTGTTCCTAAAAAGCACATTCCCACACCCCAACTCGTCACTCACTCACGCACACACACACACATATACACACACACACAGACAAACACAAAACACTCACAAAACACACAGTTCACTGTGGCCACCCGTCGCTACCACCTCCGACGTCATCTCTCTCACTCTGTGTCTTTATCTCTCTCGTGTTCTCTGCATCTTGTCTCATAGAAGTCCCCGCCGCCAATGAACCCGCATCCCCGCCGATTTCATCCTCCTCCGACTGACGTCTTTGGTGTCAGCACACGCCATCACCGTTGCCATCACGCTCATCTTTCTCTCCTCCGTCACCCGACTTCTCCCCGAATTGAATCATTATCTCAGTAAAATAAAAAAAGTCGTGCACCAAACCCCTAAATTCTAATTTCAGTAATTAACTTGAAGACGATGTCCGATTTAAAGCTGTTGTCGGTAGGATCGATCAGTGGCCGAATACGAAGGCACCAGTGCCGGTTTGGGTGAAGAGTGAGAAGGCTGTTGTGGGAATGAGTTTGGGGCTTGAGTTTGGAAATTAGATAAGTCATAGAGACCTATTTGCAAATTTTAAGAAAATAGTTTTATTCCAATTTAGTTCATGGGTTAAATTTGTATTAAAAATTTAATATTACACAATATTAATTAATAATTTGTACAATTAATAAGTGAATCGAATTGGTTGAACATTTGTCACAATCAAAATAAATTCGATTCGAAATATAGACTATAATAATAATTATTATTCATAATAAATTTTTTACATTGTTCCGTCGGATCGGTAGTTTGGGTTTTCTAAAATCATAAAGTCGATGTTGTGTCAAAACAATCAACATCTTAAAAGTAAAATAGATAATTGAGTTGAAATATGAAAAATCAATTCATAAATTTTATTTTGGTTAGTTTGTTTCATGTTGTGCAGTCCAACAATCATTAATATGCAATTCGTCTTATACTATTGTGCACGGGTTATGTCGTTATTGTGCAGTCTGAATTGATAGAAATTTTGTTCCAAAAAAAATTGAAACCGAACAGGATTACTTTATTTATTCGGTCGGGTAACTGAATTACCTAGTTAAAATAATGTACTATTTATATTAAAATACATTTAGTATTTTAATAATTTAATTTAATATTTTTATATTATTATTGATTGAAAAACATAATATACAAAATACCAAAATTGATAATGTGCACTCTCATATACACAAATGTACATTTAGTCTAATATTATTGTTCAATCTATTAAGCCTGTGTGTGCATTTCAACGTTATAAATGAAGGGTGTGTATTCAATTGAGATTATAGTGAAATTTTGGAACTTTTTAAAATTTTCAAATTTTGGAAGATGTTTGTGAAATTTGAAGTATGGAGGTGAGATTTCGTATAAGGTATTTTCTTTAGAAATCCCACCAAATTTTAAAAAAGTCTTATTAAATCTTAGTCTCAACCCGAAGTTGACATCACTGGAGTTCAATCTGGATCGAGAATCGCCTCATCGCCAGGTCTATCTAGGTGGTTCGAGTTTGGTCACAGTTTTGGGTCTGCTCTTTTGGTTTCGGTGCTGTGGGTGTGGCTCGTGTGGCGATTTGGATAGTCGTACGGTTGGCCTGCTAGGTGTAGAGAGATCTTATTTTATTTGCTTATTATGTGTGCATTGTTTTTGTTTTGTTAGTCCAACTGCGTCGTCTGGCTTTTGTCTCCTATATGGAGTTTATGTCTCCTTTTTGGAGTTTTATTTTGTGGGTGTTGGTGTCTCTTTGATGGAGCTTGTACCCTTTGGTCATCTGTGAAATTCCTGGTTGGTCCAGGCTTTGTTCTTCCAATAGTGTCTGTTGACACATTGATGATACTCTTTGAGTTTTCAGTTATTAATAGAAAAAAAAATATACTATGATTTCTAAGAGCATGATTGAATATAAAAAGTTTTTGTTTTGATTGAATTTTTAGTTTGGGTTGGTTAAATTTAAAAAAGTTGGTATGGTTAGTTGTTAGTGGGTATATTAAAATAATATTTAAAATAAAATGATTAAAATTAAATTCATGTAAAAGTAGGAGAGAGAAGATGTGATGTGATGGTTAGTTAAAATTATGTGAGTTGATGAATAATGAATTAAGGTTGATATTGTGTGTAAGAATGATTGATTGATAGTATTATTTAATTATATTGATAATATTGATGATAATTAAGTTAAGTTAAAGTTGAACTAAAAAAGTGATTGAGTTAAAAATGATTGTACTTTGTTGTTGGATTTATATCCAATCATTCTCTAAAGTATTAAAAGTTTTTAGAATTCTCAATTGAATAGACTGGAATGTACATTTTTGTTTCATTTCGGGCTCATCTGAGTTTCATCTACCATTTCTCGTTCCACATATGAGATCTACCTCTTCTACATCCACACATGGTCATGCTCGCATAAATGCTTGAAAAATGTTTATACGATCATTCTTTCAATTTAGCTTTTCGTAAAACTGGAAACCAGTCTTCGAAACTGATGAATATTGAAAATCTACGCCAATTTTTATTTTATTTTTCAACCGAAACTTTTCCAAATCCAGATCTCTGGTGATCATCGGCGCCAATCAATTGTCGTTTTTACGCTATTCAAATTCCAGATCGTGGCGCTGGGAACCCTAACAGCCGAAAGGAGGAATTTTTGTTATTTTTATTTTTTCGGTCGAGAAGATGCCGGGGCATGGGGATTTGGATCGGCAAATAGAGCAACTGATGGAGTGCAAGCCGCTGTCGGAGGCTGAGGTGAAGGTTCTTTGCGATCTAGCGCGAGCAATTTTGGTGGAGGAATGGAATGTTCAGCCGGTTAAATGCCCCGTCACTGTGTGCGGTGATATCCATGGGCAGTTCTATGATCTGATCGAGCTTTTCCGCATAGGAGGCAATGCGCCGGATACTAATTACCTCTTCATGGGAGACTATGTCGGTAAGTTTTTTTTTTTGTTGTTGTTGTTGTTGTTGTTGTTGTTGTTGTTGTTGTTGTCTCTCTCTCTCTGCAGGTTTTGAGGAATTTATCAAATATAGCTGTTTTCTGATCTGTATTTATGTGGATGTGTATGGCTGTAATGCTTGGTATTTCTAAGGTATCTAATGTGACATGGATTAAACCGTGTATTTCTTTTGACTGAGGTTGTTTTTGGAGTTTAAGGAGGTAATAAATAATATAACAACAATATTTAATTTGTTCGAAGATATATGAACTGAGAGATAAGGTAAGGTAGTGTTTTTTAGTGAACATCATACATCCTTCTTTCTTAAATTTATAGAATGATGTACAACCCTCCTAGGAAGCTAATTTTTAATGTAGAATATTAGTTTGATTCAGCAAAGTGAAAAGGATTTTAATTCCATAACTTATTAGTTTGTCTCCCCACTAGGTATTGGAGATAAGTTATTATACGTCCTGCGATACTGATTAGCTGGATACAGATTCGAGAATTGGGGTTTTTTACATGTCTATTTTGGATTGGCCAAGCCGTTGTCAGGTGTATCAAGTGTCCCAGAATTGCTAGGGTGGGATTTGGTGTGAATCAATTACTATATTATTTTGGACGTTGGTTGATGTTGGAAATGTTTAGTTGTTTCGTTAAAGTTGTCATGCAATGATGCAAATGGTAGACATTACATATGTGATCCTTTACTGCAACTTACTATAATAATGCCAACAGGTAAGTAATTGGGGTTGCTTTTTGTTTCCGTTGTTATGAGTACATAATAAAGGTCAGAATGTGGATTGTGCTGTTAAATGTTGTGCTTTTACCATGCTGTTATTCCGCGGTTCTATGTTGTCTTTGTTAGAGCAACTCATGTTATTTTTTTGTCTTATACTAATTGCTTCAATTGACAGTAAAATTTTCAATAATCATAATATCATAGCTTTCCCTGGAGTACCTTGACAATAAACTTATGAAGTATTTGTATTGCAGACCGTGGGTACTACTCAGTCGAGACCGTCACACTTTTAGTGGCCCTGAAAGTGCGGTACAGAGATAGAATCACAATACTTCGTGGGAATCATGAAAGTCGACAAATTACTCAAGTGTAAGACCTCTGCCCTGCGCTGTCTGGTGTGGTTGTGTTAAATGCACAAGGCCGTGGATCCTTTGTGTGTGGCATGGCACACGTCTTATTAAACTGAGGCACACAGTTAACTGTTTGTTGTTTTTTTAACTGTGTCTGGCTGTCATCAATTATAATGCATTGTTAAACTAAAATCAAGACAGCAATCAATTAAATTAGCTCTTGCTTTAAACATAAACAATGTAGCATGTTTCTTAGCATGTTCGGTTTGTCTCCCTCTGTGTGTATGCTGTGTGCCATGATATCTTGTAAATGGGTGCATAGGAAAGAAAGAAAAATGATAAATAGAGGAAAAAGATGAAAAGAGAGAAACAGACCTTTAAAAAGATTAGCGTAGGAAATAACCGAAAAAGTGCACCATGTGTTTTTATGTTTGATTTCGGTTATCTGCCCCAAGTAAAGTTGTTCATGTTACGCACCACAATTACCTGTAGAAAAGCTCAGCGGTGCTCCTAGATGTATGGTTTTTTAGGTCTGAGTCATATTTTCTGAATTTGCATGCTTCTAATATTATGTGGATTTTAAATTTTATTTCTTTTTAGATTAATCATGGGGTTCTTTCCTCTTCAGATATGGGTTCTATGATGAATGCTTGAGGAAGTATGGCAATGCTAATGTTTGGAAGTATTTCACTGATCTATTTGATTATTTGCCCTTAACAGCGCTCATTGAGAGTCAGGTGAGGATGATAAATATGCATAACTACTCATTCTGAATATAGCAACTTTATTCTATTTAATGCTCTTATATTGCTTTGTGCAGATCTTTTGTTTGCATGGGGGCCTTTCACCATCTCTTGATACCTTAGACAATATCCGAGCTTTGGACCGTATACAGGAGGTATAAATGAAATATTGTTTTGTGAGTTAAATATGACTTAAATGGCCTTTTATTTATTTATTTATTTTAAATTATTGTATTCTCCTCTATGTATTAATTTATTCCTCACCCGGTCTTGAGAATGCATAACCTTTATATCATCTCACCTGTGTTCCCTTGTTCTATTTGACAAATGGCAGTTGTTTTGCTGTTTGAAAGTCGGGATTACTGATTCACTATTTTATTGAATCATTTTCCTTTTATGTATATCTTGTTGGCTGATAGGTTCCACATGAAGGGCCAATGTGTGACCTATTGTGGTCCGACCCGGATGATCGTTGTGGATGGGGCATATCGCCACGTGGCGCCGGCTACACTTTTGGGCAGGACATAGCTTCGCAGTTTAACCACACTAATGGCCTCACTCTAATTTCAAGAGCCCACCAGCTTGTCATGGAGGGTTACAACTGGTGTCAGGTTTGTTTATATTCTGAAAGATAATTGTCAATAATCAAACACCAATCCTGAGATTTAGCTTAGTTACAAAAATTACTGTTTTCTTTTTTCCTTTTTTTTTTTTTTACTCTATTCTACATATGTTTGTGTTTACTAGTTTAGTTACAAAATTCACTTTTCTATAACTACAAATACCCTATTTTGCATATTTTGTGTTTACTAGTGGCATCCGTCAAGGGAATATTTGTATATAGCAGATATGGATCTTTGTAACACCTTCAGAGTGTTCATGCCTTATAGTGTGTGTTATCCTATTTTTAAATTGGTTTATTCTGCAGCAACAAGTGCTGCTTACAATATGGCTTTCTACTATTATGCAACTCTCAACGATTTGGCATCCATATCTTTTCAACAGATATCATACTTTCAAACTAAAATGTCATACTTTTGGAAAGACAACACAAACAAAAGTATGGTATTTCATAGTGCATGTATGCATTTTTGTTAAAAAAGTATGACGGGTCGACCCGCCTAATGGCCAGGCCGCCTCATACAAGTTCTTAAAAATTGTGAATATAAGAATCCAAGGGATGCATTTGTAATTTGTGATTATTGCAAACCTACCGTTAAGGTTTGGTAATTGTAAAACAATACATCTAACTTCATAAAATACACGCACTCACCTCCCTTGAGATTTGATTCCATCTTACATCTTACAAATTGTCCAAACACTTTGGCTGGCTATTGGTAACATCTTATAAACGTTCATGGAATAATTGATGTAAAACTTTTGATGGTACACGGAAGTTCCCATCATATCTATTAACGAAATATGCAATATGCAATGTAGATGTAAACCACAAGAGTCGATTTTGTAGTTTTAAAGTGAACTTATTTTGGTAAGTAAGCCAAATCTCTAGGTAAGCTCTTGCAAGTATTTCCCAAATCTGTGTACTCCACTGTCCACCTCAAATAGTTACTTTTTCGTCTTTACTGAGATTTCAGGAGAAGAATGTGGTTACAGTTTTTAGTGCTCCAAACTATTGTTACCGGTGTGGGAACATGGCTGCAATACTCGAAATTGGGGAGAATATGGAGCAGAATTTCCTTCAGTTTGACCCGGCTCCTCGGCAGATTGAACCTGACACAACACGCAAAACTCCCGATTATTTTTTGTGAGCTCATTGGCAACTCAGGCAAGCATTACTAATGCATGCTTTTGGTTATGTAACTGTAGAAGTGCCTTAAGAGAAGAGAGTATTGTTATTTGAGGATTGTGGTCGAAAAAATCATTCTTNCTTTGGTCATGTCATGTGCACAAGATATTTTGTGGAGGGTCAATGCTGGCATTTGGGTATATTTTGTCTTGTATATTTTTTGCCAAAAGGAGTAATGAGATGGTGGCTTATTAGTATTACAGCTACTGCAGCTTCATCTTTTGAAATAAATGTAAAAGAGGTCGCGAGGTTGGGCAATTTCAAATTACAAGCGAAAAAACAAGCATCTACCAATTTTAAATGACAAACCACTTCTATCGTGTGTTAAAGCCTACTTAAGGTTACCTGTCAACATTCATTGCACTACAACACACATACAAGGCGAAAAAACAATATGACAAAAATATTAATTTTAACCATAACTTACAACACTAGATAGGAAAAAAAAAAAAACAATGAATAAGAAGAAAGGAGGGAAAAAAAAAATATTAGGGTGGGAGAAAAAAGTTGATAATCATACAGTATATTTAAAACGTAGAGTTAGAAGGGAGCTTCATTGGTCCACCACCAGCTGCAGCACTACTTTGCTTTCGTCTCAAGTGTATAAAGGAACCACTGCTCATTAGCATAGCAAAAAACATAAAAGCCTGCACATAAAAGAAGTCTTAATTCATATTCACCAACTTGGTGAAACAAATCAAATTTCACAAGTAGAAAACAATACCATATGATTCTATCATTTCTATGCAACGAATAAGAATAACTTGTAATTGGCTTTTCTCCCTTTAAAATGGTTTATGCTCGGAGAAATATAATAATGACAATCAATTAATTGGGAGCCCCTTTCTTCATCATGTTGCATTGAACATGAAAACATTTTGCGTTGCCTCCAAATCCAATTCGCTTACGTCAGTTTCACCAAATTACAGATGATGGCACAAGATTAAAACATATACTTCCAACTCACTTCACAAACTCAAATTGCCAAACCAATAATTAAAAAATGAACATCAACTAGTCATCCCTCGTGCAAACAGATGATGGCAACTTATTTATCAACTTGCATAATTAAGAGGTCACTGATCAACAAAACTTTAATCTCAATATTGCATAAAGCATCTGCATGAATCCCAACCCAACTGCACCCAATCAAGAGATTCAAATATGACCAGCATAGAATAAAAAAAGAAATTAACAAAAGTTAAATATTTTTTTTGCCTCGTTCCTAATACTATATTTCCATCTCTCTCTAAGTTACTGATTGACATCAACTTACATGAATCATTCCAACGCACAGGTTTTCTCGGCATATGCAGTAACAGTTTAAAACTTTTCCCTAATTTATTCTCCATGCGTGCCACGCAGTCATGGATACTTCATAAATCTTAAAATGTCACACCACTACAATTTAATTTTCTCATTTCACTCTCATCCCATTTAAGAAATGTTTTACAAATAAGGGAAATTTACATACATATACTCTATATAAGAGTTATTTGCATATATACCATCAGTATAAACTTTTATCATTTTGCGATTTAGTGGACATTTTTTTTTCACTATTAGGAGATGTCTTTATCTCTCCACAAGATTTGTTTCTCTCTCCAATTAAAAATCATGCATTTAAGTTGTCTTTATCTCTCCACAAGTTTTGGTTCTCTCTCCAATTAAAAATCATGCATTTGATTAGTCCGAAATGGACACAATAAAAATGGAANNNTGCCAAATAAGATACCTACCATTTTCAAACGAATTTTATGTTTATTGGTATCTTACAATTGGGAAAAAAAATTATCGATCTAGCTGAGCTGTTTAGTTTATGAATATATTTAGTATAATTCTAGCGTCCATGTCATCTAGCTGAGTTGTTTAATTTATGAATATATTTAGTATAATTTTCTGTTTCGATAACTATTGTCTCTTTGTTTATAAATAAACAATAAATAATAACATACATACAATAATTTTGATTCTTACATACTCTATTGGTATAACTAACGTATATTAAATGTGTAAATTTACTACATTGGAAAATATTTTTATTTCGTGGTCATAAACGTTAGTTAAACAGTAATATTTAATCATAATACTCCGCCATGTTTTGATCTATGATAAGTAAATTTCATATCAAACAAGCTAAAAAACGTATCAATAATATAAACTAACAACTTAACAACGTGCAAAAAACTTAACATAACAATATGTAAACACAAAATCTCATACAACTGAAACGCCTGTACAATTCAACACATCATATCTAAATCTCGTTTCAAGGAAAAAACACAATCTTAAAATCTAAAGGGATAAACAAAGGCAATTCTGAGTTTAAAACCCATAAATATGGATGAAAAAAATCTATTAATATATACAAATATAAACTATTAACATACCATCAATAAACATCAACACGGATATCACCAAATTCAAGCCCGAACCCTCCTCCAAATCCCTAGTCGAGGAGCAGAACATTGAGAACCTCAACCTCCTTCGGCCAGAAGACGTCTGCCGTCTCTGATTCCTGAAACAGTCGGTGATTCTCTTCGGCAAGGATTTGACTGTTGTCAATAATTTGGAGATTCAACCATTTTGCATTTACTTTTTTCTTTTTTTTGCAATTTATCCCTTTTTCTTTTTGGGGTCTACATGTTCTTCGATTTTTGATTCGAACACAATATAGTCATCACCCTCATAGTCATGGTACTCGTATCTATAAAAATAAGATGCGTCTCTTGTATTCTTAAAAATAAGATTAAAAGCAGCAGCAGAATGAGTAAATTTCTCTCAAATAATTCTTGTGAGCGACCTAAAACAAATATAAAGAAAAACAACATAAGTTAGGTACAACTATATATTTAAATGGAATGCCAAAAAAACAATATTTACAAATTTCACTTCAATTTAATCTCAAATGTCAGATATTTTGCGAGGTTTAACCCTCATCATTTTTCAAATAATCATTTGATGAGAGAATAGTGATAAATTAATTTTGTAAAGGGGAATGCTACATTTTGATGTGGACCGGAACAAAACGCTACAAGCTTACAACAGATTGAATGCAAAAACAATTTAAAACCAACCAATAATTCAGCAAGTGACCACCAGCGCCACCCACCATAGGATATTTTTCATTTCCACACGGGCGAGAAAATGACCTTTAATTTAAGTTATCCCCACGCGAAAAATAAAGAGTAATTTCAATCACTACAGACAATCAACCCAATATAATTCCCACTTGTTTTTTTCTTGTGTAAAATAAGTTAAATCAACCACCAAGGAATCATCTAGTCCAAGCTACAACTAATCCAACCTTACACCTTCTTCACATTCACCACTTTAAAGGTCGAAATAATATATTACATACATAAAAAGGAGCACAACACAACACAACACGTACTTCCATTTTACAGCACATAAAGACAATATAAACAGTAGCAACAATGAAGTGACAATCAGGCAACACTAATGATGTTGTCCCCACCACTCTCATTAAAGCCGGTGGGCATTGCCTGAAAAGCCGCCACATGTCGTGCAGGCGGTGACTGCTGATTGGACAGCTGTGGTGGTTCATGAGATTGAGATGATGTCGACAGATTGAGTGACACAGCTGATTTCTGGTGGTTTAAGTTCATGTCGGCCATTTTGGAAGATGGAGGTAAGATAGGAATGGGCCTAATGGGCTTGGGCGAGTTGTTAAGCTGGTTGAGAGCCAGATTCTGTAGTGGGCTTGGATTATCACATGGGATTGGGATATCTATAGGTGTGATAGAGACAGAGACAGGATAAGATGAGATGGGGAATTTATGAGGATTTTGCTGTTGTAGTTGTGTTTGTGTTATTGGAGGGTTGAGTGAGGTTTCCTGATTCATTTGCTCCTCACTTGTAGATCCTGCAACCTATTTAAAATAAAATTATAGGAATTCATTAGGCAAAAGAATAAGACAAGGGAGCACGTACAGTTTCATTTTCTTTTTCTTTGGACACCAATTGAGGTAAAGAGTGCAATGAGTAACAAGTATCAGCTTATATTTGTGATTTTGAAAGATAGATGAGACAATGTTGTAGCTAACTCATATATTATCACTCTAAGTAGTGGAGATTTGATTTTTTCTTTCCCTTTTTGCTCAAAATACATTGAATGTAGACGTTCATGACCTAGCGAATTACTGAACAAGCAATCAAGAAAATCAGAGAACTGATACATCAAAGTTAAGGCTAGATGTTATGCATTAACACGCATAAAACATTAGCAAAGGCCCATAAAATGATCTCTCACGTATTTCCTAATACTGAAAATTCATATAGAATAAACTTTCAATCATACAATGAACTTTTTCATTAGGAGACTCAAACACAGTTTCACGTTATAAATACAAATGAAAGAAGTGGATGAATGGAAGATTAGCATATACGGAAAATATAAATTTAAATTCTTCATAATTTAGAAGTAATAGGCACAAAAAAAAAAAAGAAATTGAGAAAGATTTTTCCTACCGTGTCAGCTGTGATGTCAAAGAGGCTAGACCTCCGATGCCGCCTGTTGTGGTTGTTCTGGCGGAGAAAGTACTTTTGAGCATGGCTTGCAACTTGAGTCGGTGTTCTTGTTTTCACATACTTTCTTGAAATTCCCCTCCAATCTCCTTTCCCCACCTTTTGCAACCCCAACAAAAATAGCCTGTGTTCCTCTTCACTCCATGGGACACCTGTTTTACAAAATTCCACATTTCATAATGTTCAAAATATTCACTACTCATTCAAACTCAAGTATGTGGGTGGGTATGGTTAATCAATAAATTGAAGACTTGATTAAAGTTAATCAAGTGCTGTTCTCCAGTCAGTCCGATTTTCTAAAAATTCTATTCAGAAATTGCAGATTCGACCATGTTGGAAGTCAAGCTGAACTGCTGGATCTACAGACTGGGCAAATCATTGTAAAAGCTTTTCTCAACTCAATTCATTACCGAAAATTCCCAATTTAACCGTCTAACACTCAGTTCACAACCGAACATATTAAATCCTCAAATTTTGTAGCTAGATAAATCGAATACCCCTTTTCCGATCGCGGCTCCTTTCGGAGGGATGAACGACGTCGTCGGAGGCATAGCCGGCGAAGACATCATTGGTGGAGTCCTGCGGCTGCTGATCAAATTGAGCCAAGTTATTCATGCTGGCACACTTCCTGAACGATACATCCATCATAACTCTCACGCCAAAAAGCATGAATCCTTCACCGGCGCCGGCGCTGACTTCCGAGCACGTCCTCGAGCTCTGGCCGTCGTCCGCGGCGGAGTAGTCCGAGCACTTCTCATGCATCTCCGCCTCCATTTTCCGCCGAGCAATTAAAGCCTCTTGAGGCTCAGAGTATGAAAAATCGGGAGAAAAACGAGAGGACGAAAAAGGATGGGATTTCCTGTTGGGAGGGGAAAGTTATATTAAGGTGTATCAAGCTAAGCTTACGTACCAATGAGTTGTTGTTCAGTTGTTTTTTCGATTATTATTATTATTATTTATTTTATTTATTTATTTTTATTTATTTTGTTTTTTATTTATTTTTTTAGCTAAATTATAAAGCAGTGAAATGGTAAGGTACACTATGGTGCGCGTTTCCATCACCAGACACCAGCCCTTGGGTTGGGATGAAATATCATCCGCATAATCTTTTGCCCCAATCTATCTTTTTCTTTTCTTTTTGTATTGTTTTTGGCATTTATGGAACTCTTGGTCATTATATTTTTAATAATTATATATTATTTTTGGAAAGCTAATTACAATATGTTATTTCTTTAATATAAACTAGTAAAGGGTGTTGCTATTTGTTGCCCCAAATTACTACTTGTTACCTTAAAAATAATTTAATAATAGTTAAAATTATATTTTTGTCCTAATATAAATGTTTTACCTACTTCTACCCAAAATTACTATTTTTAACTCCACCAATCTCCTTCTTCTTTACTTTTACTTTAATCTACATCTTCATCAATCTCATTCTTCCTCAACATCATCGGCAACACATGCAAATGAGGTAAATTGTGTAATCCCTATTTATTTTACATTGATTTTCACTTGTAAATGAGGTAAATTGTGTTAATCTCTTTTTTTTTTTTTTTACATTGATTCACTCACAAATGGATCTCTTGATTTTTGAGTGTTTGAGTTATTTTAGGACTTAGATAACTAAACACTCTTCATATATGTTGCATTAAACCAATGTGATGGGTTGATTAGTATGGTAGAATGAATAAAGTAATAATAGATGTAAGTTAGGGTTTAATTTCGTTCAGTAAACGTCCCAGGTAAAAGCTCGAACGTGGTTTAAACGTCTGCTAGCTAAGCTTACATAAGGCTTAAACCTTTTATTGTCAAGCTACTTGACCCATAAAACGTCTAACTTGAAAGCCCGACTGTGAAGAGAAACGTCCTTTGTAAGGGGCAACACTTAAGAAACGTAAATACTGAAAGCTTGGAAGCCTCTGAAACGTCTAAATCTAAAGCTTATATATAGTACAAACGTCCAGTTAGTAAGTGGAAAACACTTAGGAAACGTAAATATTGAATGCTTGGAAGCCCCTGAAACGTCTAAACCTGAAGCTTATATGCATTTCAAACGTCCAATTTGTAAGTGGCAACACTTAATAAATGTAAATATTGAAAGCTTGGAAGCCTCTGAAACGTCTAAACCTAAAGCTTATATGCAGTTCAAACGTAACCAATTTTTTTTTTTTTTTCCAACTGAATTTTAATAGTTACTTTTTATGAAATGTGATAATAAAATTGTGTAATTTAACTATTTACAAGATGAATTTGAAGATTTTACGGATTATTTTAAAGATGGACAAATACATGCGAGTTATAGTGAAGCTCTGCATTATTGCTACTTTCTTGCCATATACTCAGGGTATGAGCTGAAAATAACTTCGATGCATTTACCTACCAGTGTGAGGCTCAGATGTAATCGGGCCAATAGAAAGAAATCGGAAGATGGAGGGACTCCAAAGCCAAAACAGAGAAAGAACAAAAGACCATTGTTTGTGGCTGTGAGTTCACGGTAATATTGAAAAACTTGACTCCAAATTCGGAGTTCCATAGTTGGATTATGAAATGTGATGAGGGTAGACACAATGATGAGCCCGCTGAATATGCAGAGGGACATCGACAAATGAGCAGTCTTAGTGTTGGAGCAAAAAAACTTATTCGGTCGATGGTTCTTTCTCAAACAAAGCCGTAAAACATATTGTTGGTCGTTCAACAATCATTTCCAGACGACAACTGTCACATCAGACAAATTTACAACTACAAGGCAAAGCTCCGGAGGGCCTCATTTGGGAAAAGGAGTATGATACAACAATTCTACCAATTAGCTAAGGACAACGAATATGATATTCAATCACTTAGAGATCATGATACAAAGAAGTTAACTAATGTGTTCTTGGTCCATCCAAAGTCAGAAAAAACACTTAGAGCATACCCTTGGGTCCTTAGCATGGACTCCACGTACAAAACAAACAGGTACGAGATGCCTTTGTTCTAAATTATTGGTATGACTCCTGGTAATAAAATTTTTTTGATTGCATATGCAATTAAGAAGGATGAGTCAGCTAATAGTTATCGATGGGTGTTGAAGAATTTATAGATTTTGATTGGGAATGATGTTGAGCCCACAGTCATTTTGATTGAAAGGGAGATGGGGTTGATGGCTTCTATTAAGGAATAATTTCCTCAGACTCCCCACTTGATTTGTACTTTCCACATCAACAAGGATGAGAAGAATCAAGTGTATAGAAAACTAAGTGGTAATAAAAAATGTAAATAGTCGGGATTATGCTGTGCATTTTAAAAGTGGCACATGGAGACTACTATGACAAGCAGACACCGTGGAGAAGTACGAAAAAGCCTTGGCGGACATGAGAGAAAAATTGCGTCCTCATCCTAAAATTTTACATTATCTTGAGTCCACATGGTTGGATCCACACAAGGAGAAGTTTGTTCGTCTCTGGACAAACCAAGTACAACACTTTGGAAACACAACAACATGTAGAGTGGAAAGCGCGCACGCCGCCTTGAAGCAATGGCTTAACACATCCACCGGCTCATTTGATACTCTTTTATTTCGATACATGAGGAGACTGGATCTAAAAATACACACATAAGGTACATAATTATATTATAGTTATGGTTTGTAATATTTAAATATAAAAATTATGTGTTAAATGGTTAGGACCAAAAAAATTAGTTGAAGTAATGAAGCTTTTGAATCAGACGTTCAGAAGTCCATTAAACATACCACTGGGACGTTTCCCACTATTTCAAGCTTTCGTATTAGACGTTTATAATCTCTATAAGCATACCACTGGGAAGTTTTTAGCTGTTACAAGCTTTTGTATTAGACGTTTCTAATCTCTTTAAGCATACCACTGGGAAGTTTCCAACTGTTACAAGCATTTGTATTAGATGTTTTTAAAATCTTTAAGCATAGCACTAGGAAGTTTCCAGATGTTGCAAGCTTTCGTATTAGACGTTCGTAATCTCTTTAAGCATACCACTAGGACGTTTGCATGCATTATAATGTTGGCATTTGCCTTAGACGTTTAGTTGTCTTTCAGTATTTGTTATTGGATGTTCATTTTAATTGTCAATTACTTACGAAATGAATATAATGTACTCATTTACTGGTATGATCAAGAACAGTCATTGTCTAAGAGTAATGGAGATCCTACGGTACCCAGATTCACATACTTGAGAAATCGCGCATCACTTCATTGTTTGAATTTGTTGTTTAAGTCATTGGAACTTGTGACAAACGATTGGGGGGATGATACCCACGTGTCCTTCGCACATGAGGGTTTGATTCCCCTGAGATCTTTTCGAAGGCTCTAGTGTTCGACAAGGTCTAGGTCAATCCGCTGACTGCTCTAAGTCTGGGAAGTGGTCAATCCGTCGACCAGTTGTATCGCAGGTCGATCTTCGACCAGACACTCCATGAGTCTGGGACCGACCTGTTCTCCATACTAGGGCTGCAAACGAGCCGAGCCGAGTCGAGCGTTGGCATTATTGAACAGGATTCATTTTTTTTAAGCTGCTCGAGCTCAACTCGATAAAAAGTACAATAGCTCAATTTTGGCTCGAGCACGACTCGAATTCAAAATACTCGAGCTCGGCTCGAGTTCGGTTCGAAAATTTTCAATCAACTTTGTCAAATTATCATTAAGTACATATATTAATATTATCATATATATATATACAAGGGGTATTTTATTAATTTACCATATATCGAGCCGCTCGCGAGCCGCTCGACAATGTAAAATATGGGCTCGAGCTTGACTCGAGTTCGTGCTCGAGTCGCTCGAGCTCGACTCGAGTTCGGTCAAACTCGAGCTCGACTCGAGTTCGGTCAAACTCGAGCTCGAGCCGAGCTTTGACTCAAGCGCTCGCGAGCGGCTTGCAAGCCGCTCGACTCGTGTGCAGCCCTACTCCATACACCGGAGTCCCTCTCCAGGTTGTCGTACCTCCCACAAAGATATAACTATGTCAAACACTACAGTAAATCTATTGGAGATTGTCCAAAACACATTCACGATCAAATTAAAACTTTTTCAAGTAGGTTTAGAAGTTCAGTGTGGGAAAAACGCTTCAACTCGAATATAAAACATGATAATGGTGGACAAGAATGTAAGTATATATTTTAATTATTTTGTTAAAAAATTGTTTGGCAGTATTTCCGTTGTTTGATTATTTTTTTATTGGTGCTAGAGTTATGGTCTGAATGTGTAAAATAACGTTGAATGTTTTGACACATGCTTAATTTTAATTTTTTCACACACATCAGTTGGATATTTAGATCTTGATATTTACATCTGTTTATGAGTAGATTTTTGTTAATACATATGCTTTATTGATTCACGTGTGGTTATCATGTTTTGATTTGTTGATTCTGTGCATATGAATAAAAAAAAAAAAAATTGACACGAACTATACTGTTGTTTAAGAATTAATGTTCAAAAAGCAAATAACAGAGACACTATATAATGATAATCTAACTTGGCAAAACTCACCATCCTCGGTGCCAGGACAATTTTTATTTCACATTTTACTAAAGAATATAATGAGTACTCATAGTCTTTCAATGGAGTTATCATGACATGATGATATCGATGCATTTGTGAATAAGTACTCAATTGAATAAAACATTTACAATTGGGGTTGGACAAACACAAGAAAACTCATTGCAACCCTCAAGTGAACTTGCTCCTGATAATGGTTCAGGTGGACTGCAGGTAGGACAACTTTTCATAAGTGTCAGTGCCTCTTTAGCTCAGGATGGCTCAGTTGGGGTTGGCTGCTCTGGATATGAAAAAGACTCTCAAGTCTTCTCATGGTCAAATGTGTTGTGCTCAGATGTGCAAATGCGGTAGGTGTAAATTAAAACACCAGAGTAAAATGGTGAACAATAATCCCAATCCCAGCAACTCAAGAATAAAAAAATCTCTTACAATAAAACAGGAATAATTCTTTTCTG